AGAAGAAGAGTACACACAGATGATATTCTATTAGGAAACAAAGAGAAAGAAAAACAATTTAAACTTATTTTTCCTCTTAGATGAGAAAAGGGAACAAAATGTTTCATACAAACACATTAAGCATAACAAGGGACCAAGTATACATCATTTGCCCACAAGCTGCAGTGCCATTTCTTACTTGGTTGTCGATGGGCAACACACAGTCCGCATGCTCATTAAGTTCCTTCACTGCCAAAAGGCTATTATATGGGGAGGTTATGACATCATCCTCACTGGAAGGGTAAACTGAAGTCACAAATCTGTATACTTCTGGGAATTCATCTTCAAGCACCTTTAAAAGAAATGTTCCAAGACCAGATCCTGTTCCTGGGGATTAAAAGTTTGAAAAGAAAATAGCATACATGATATAGAATGTTACTGAGAGGAACTTGGAATTTTACATTTAATAATTTTCAAGTTATTCCTGTCATTATATATTAACTAATCCAATTTCAGAAAAAGAAAAAGGAAAGCAACATGGATAGTCAGGTTTTAAGTCCTGAATTCTATTTCTGGCTCTAACCATGAATTTGGGATGGCTTTTCATATTTCACTCATTTTCATGCTGAAATCAATAGATACAAAGAGAACTGACTGAACAATGAGAAATTCAACTAAGTATTCAGTGTACACTTGATATTAAACTTAAAAGTAACCTATGTTGACACTTTGATGTAATGTACACACAATTTTGATGCCGTCATTAACCGTCTTAAACACTGAGCTGAAAATTGTGTAAAATTAAGCATATCCACCTTGAACTTAAGAAGTTTTTTAACATGAAATTTTGTCACTACTTGTGTAGAAACACAAACTGTAGGACCCTCATTAAAGATAACTTTCTGACGAATAAAGTTACATTTACGTAAATTTAGAAAATTTTGACAGTGTGTTAAGAGAGAAAGCTGGAATCTTCTAACTTGTTTTTCAAATCACAGGCTGTGAACTATTAATGGGCTATGAAATTACTTAGTAGATTGGTACTAGTATTTTTTTTAAAAATGAAACATTAGAAAGTATCACTGTGTCCCATGTAGTAACATTTTCAGAATCTTTTATTTCAGCCTGGATGTATGGTGTTGGAATAGAAAAAGTATTTCTTATTGGTTTAAAAAGTTTAAGTATTAAAAGGCTATGGTGTTAAAAATACTAGATGAAAGCGAGAGAGATTTTTTTGAGTAATCTTTAATCACTTAACAGTTTACTCCTACCCCAGCATCATTCAGGCAGTGCATTTTTATGCACTGACCATCCCAAGCGTCACTCGGGCAGGTGTCATTTCAACTAGTCAATTCTTTTTTTGAAAAAAATCAGATAAAATTGCCGTTTCTCCAAGTTTTGGTTATCCTGTACTTAAATAATTGGACTGGTAAGTGGTTAATGACATATTTAGGCATCCAGTTGTTAATATGAATTGGTACATTATTGTATGAAGTTAGGTAAGTTGTCAATCAAAATTTAAAATGCTCATATTCTTTGGTTCCATCTTCCATTATACAAATATTGCCTATAGCTATAGGCCAAATGCACATGTATATGTATCAGATGTTCCCTGATTATATATAATAACTAAACACTGATGGCATTTCCCTTCTACAAGACAAAGCTGACAGTGAAAAGACATTTAAAATACACAGTGAAAAAATTATACAGTGATATGTATTGCATGATTGTGTTTATGTGAAAAAGTTTAAGAGGTATAGAAAATATCTGCAAGAAGACACAAAAAACTCCCAAACGTGCATGCTTGATTACCTATGAGGATATTTACTAGATTAGAAGAACTTTTTAGTCTTCAGTATTATTTTTATCATTTTCAGTGAATTATGAATCAAGTATGTTTTCTGAGTTATTGGATAATAGGCATTTTTAAAAAGGCAAAATAACTGTAAATCTCATTTTTTTTTTGGTGAAAATTTACTTCAACTAGTAGGTTATATCAGTAGAAAGACAATTTGTTTCTTAATGATTAGGATGGCTTTCTAAAGATGTATTTACATAACAAATATACCTTTAATTTTTAAAATTATGATAATAAATAAAAGATATGTGTTACAATTGTATATAACTTGCTGAACATAAAATCTTAACTTGGCTTGGAAAAAAACTGTGGCAATTTTTTTCTTTAAAAGTTGTTAATCTAAGCCGGGGATATAGCTCAGTGGTTCCACCGCCTGCCTTGCCAGCGGAAGGTCCCGAGTTCGATCCCCGGTACCAAAAAAAAAAAACACTTGTTAATGTTATTTAAAAATTGCCAAATTATATTTTGTTTCTATTTCTTGGAACAGAGGAATGAAATATTTCAATTCTAAATTACAGGCTTCCCAGCAGAAAGAAAGCAATGTAGCGCAATCATATATTTCTAGTTCAAACTGATGAACCACCATTTCAAGAAACTCATTGAGTTTTTTTTCCCCTCTTACTGGAGATGAGAAAAGTTTGAAGGTGGCTAAATAAAGGGTACTGATGCTGTTTAAAGTACACATAAGAACAAGCCAGAAATACTCAGCTCTAGTTATGATACAGAATTGAACAAGTGAAGTATGAAGAGAAAAGTATGAATTCCTCAAAAGCGTATATATTCTGAAATGTGGCTAAAAAATTCTACAAAAGTAAAGGTAGAAGAAAAATAAATTTCCCACATAGTTTTCTGATTTGTGGAAAGGGCTCAAGTTAAAAGAAAACTGGTAACTGCACAATTTCACAAAATTTTAAGATAAAAAGCTACATATGAAATACAAACACAAATGTTCTAATTCCAACTTTATTGAGCATAGGTCTGAAAGCAAGACTCAGGTTTGCAAAACAAACTCTTACTTGCATTTTAACATTGTTATAAGCAAATGAGTGAGAAACTTTACCTCCTCCCATGGAGTGCAATATAAAGAAACACTGCAAGCAATCACAGTGTTCTGCAGACTTTCTGAGTTTCTCTAAAATCTGTTCTCGGTAAAGACTGCCAAATACTTTGTGACCCACAGCCCTGAAAATAAAGAATACGCATTTAAAAAAATCCTTAATTTACTACTTCTTGTTCTTATTATTTTTGCCCTAAACAGATTACAGAAAAATAAGAGAAAGTATTTTAATTGCATTAAGGGAAATACATTCTTATTGCATGTCAAATCACATTGCAATATTCTGAAAATTCTAGATAGAAAAATTAATGTATATTAGACATATTAAATCTTCAAATATCCTGATAAGATAGCTCATTAGCAATGGATATTATGGTTTCCTAATTTTACCTTTCTTTTTACAATTACAACAAAATAAGATTTCAGTTCAACGGGGTTTTTTTATTTACATTTAAAGTAAACTCTTTCAAAACTGATTTAACACAATCCCAATCAAAATACCAACAACATTCTTCATAGGTCTAGAGAAGACAATCCTAAAATTCATGCGGCACTAGAAGAGACCTAGAATAGCAAAAGCAATTCTGGGTTAACAACAGCAAAGCAGGAGGCATCACAATCCCAGATTTGAAGTTAATATTACAAAGCTACAATGATAAAAAAATTAAAATAACAACACAGTACTGGCACATACAGAAATATGGATCAGTAGAACAAAATGGAGAAAGCAGACCACCTCACATATTCAAATATTTGATCTTTGAGAAAAGAGCCAAAAACTTACACTGGAGGAATGATAGCCGTTTAATAAAACGGTTCTAGGAAAACTGGATAGCCACATACAGATTGAGTCTAGACGTACTGTCTCACTGGCCACTAAACTAAACTAAAAATGTATCAAGTATCTAAATTTTTTTTTCTTTTTTTCTTTATTAAATTCTTTTATTGGTACATTGTAGGTATACAACACAATTACATTTCTCATTGGGAATTGTACCTTTACATAATGCATCTTGCTTCTTATTTTTTCCCCATTCCTAGCCCTCCCTTCACCCCCTCCACCCTTCCCTATTTACAAAGACTTTATTTCCATTTTTTCCATTTCTCAGCATCAAATATCTAAATGTTAAAACAGAAACACTTAATTTGCTGGAAGACAAAATAGGAATAACTCTTGAAAACATAGGTGTAGAGAAGAACTTTCTGAACAGAACCCCTGTGGCAAAAGAAGTAATATCAAGGATAAACAAATAGCATAGTATCAAATTAGCAAGCTTCTGCCCATCAAAGAAAACAACCAACAGAGCGCAGAGACAACCTACAGAATGGGAAAAAATTTTTGTCAGTTATTCCTCAGACAGAGGACTAACACCAAGAATATATAAAGAACTAAAAGGAAAAAAAAAAAATTAGATTCCCCAAATAAAAGACCCTGTTAGGGCTTGTATCTAGTTGTGTCCCCAAAGCCTCATGCAGGCATAGGTGGGATTTTTCAGAGGTGGCTGGATCTAGGGTGTATGAGGCTGGGATTAAGGGTACCCCACCCTGGATGTGGGTGGCAACACATGCAAGTGGGTAGCACGGAAGAGACAAAAGGGAGAGGCAGGCTGCTGCTTTGGTGCCTTTTGCCAGGCAAGAACTGCTTCTTCTCCGCAATGCCCCTCTCCCATTCCACCTTGCCTTGGAGACAGCCAACTATGGACTGAACCTTCTACAAACTATAAGCCACAATAAACCTTTCCTCCTTTAACTTTTTTGTCTCAGCAATGAGAAAAGTAACAAAGACAAATCTAATTTAAAAAATGGGCAATCAAGATGAACAGATACTTCTCAGAAGAAGTACAGATGGCTAATTAAAGAAAAATGTTCAACATTATTGGCCAATACAGAATTCTGAGATACCATCTGAGATACCATCTTATTCCAGAAAGAATCGCTACCATCAAGAAATCAAGTAACAAATGCTGGTGAGGCTTTGGGAAAAAGAAATCCACATTTGTGGTGGCAATGTAAACTAGTACAAGCACTATGGAGATGAGTATGCAGACTCCTCAAAACACTAAAACTAGAAATTCCATTTGATCCAGTCATTCCCTTTCTAGGTATCTTCCTGAAAGAGTTAAAGACATCACATTACAGTGATACATGCATACTCATTATAGCAACACAATTCAAAATAGCTAAATCCTGAAAACAGCTTATATGCCCATAAACAGATGAATGAATAAGTAAGATGTGGTATCTAGACACAATGGAGTACTACTCAGCTACTCTACTACTCTGGAAATTTAAAGGATAAATTTGAGGCATTTGTATGTAGGTAAATGATGCACCTTGAAATAAATCAGACACACAAGTTTAAATGTTGTATGGCTTAATAAGGAATAGAGAATAGGAAGCAGGAAGATCTTTTTCAAATGGGAAGGGGAACAAGAGATGGAGGGAGGAGGATGGAAGGAAAGGAAAAGGAATTGAAAAAAACTGAAAAGGGGAGAATAAAAAAGTTCTAAGGAACAGGGAGGACTATGTGGGGAAGGAGACAAAAAAAGAAGTATGATGTGTTATGTACATATACAAACTCCCTATGATAGATGGAATCATTATGTACTACAACTGTGTACTAACAAAAATTTTTTTTAAAACCCCTGAATTGCAAAACCAGATTGAAATCAACTACTAAGATAATGAAGATAAAAATTTTAAACTAGCCTATTCTGGTTGAAAAGAAGAAAACTGGACACGTGTTAGATGAAATGGCAAGTGGCAGAAAACTGATATTTATGAGGCTCTCCAAGTCTCTTTGGTGGCTCAATCTGCAACGTCGCTAATGATGAATTATAGAATCAAAAGATTTTTCCCATTACATGCAGTCAGGTGTAAATCATAAGTCACATAGTAAGTTATATGACAATTAGAGAAAAGCCCGTTGGGTGGTCAGATACACTCACTTATTAAGTGGCTGGTTTTCCTTAAATGAGTTTCCCACAACATTCAAATTTGTGCTTCAATAAAATTATACATCATTCCATATTATCAACCTGAGGGATTGGTAGCAAATAGTTAAAAATAATATGATATTTAGAAACAACAAAGAGCTCTTTAATTTTTCAAAAAACATCAAAAATAGTCTCAAAATGAATTTTTATGATTACTGTTACATCACTTAAAAAGAAGAGACTAGAGGGCCAGGGATTTAGCTCAGTGGTTCTGCCGCCTGCCTCACAAGCACAAGGTCCCAAGTTGGATCCCCAGTACCAAAAAAAGGAGAGGAGACTATTACATATATAAGGGCCCAAACAGCCTCAGGCCCAGCTTGGACACTGGCACACTGAACTGGATTGTATCTTTGTATAAACTCTATTAAATCTGACCAATTGGAGAACTTGAGTCAAGGAGTATAACAGTTTACAAAAGCACTTAAAATTTGTAACTAGTGTTATATAATGTACACACATAATTTAATAAATCAAATGTTCATGACTCATTTTTCCTTTAAAAAAATTAGAAGTAGTAGAAAAAGTAAAGAGAAGTGGTTTCCAAGCATTGTAAAACATCACTTATTGAGACAAGTTAAGATAGGATAAGCAGCCTACTTTAATGTGTGGCAAACTGCATTTTATATTTATATAAGTAGGACTTATTAGAATAAAGAATCTTGATTTTTATAGGTGACATTCAATGTTTATGTTCAGAACATTCTCACCAATTATTTCCTGAGCCCGAAATATCAGTGATGAGCTGTTTGCTATCAAATACATCTCTCAGAGGTCCCTGGAGAATTTCATTTACTACCCCTTCTTCCATGTCAATCAAGACAGCCTGAAAGAGAAAATGTAATGCATATTTTCCTTCCAGTTCTTTAGAATGAAAAGAATTTACAAGCTATCAAGTGCACTGTTCTTTTTATACTTTAAGCTGAATCAAAATCTTTCTTAATGTAGATCTACTGTACGAATTAAAAACCAAGTCACGCTGAAAACACCGAATCAGCCGGCTGCAGACAGTCAGGTCTGAGGACACGGTCCCAAGGTCACCAGTCGTGCGGAAAACACCGAATCAGAGGGCAGAGAAGCTGAGCCGGTCCCAGCACCCGGAAGGAAGCTCACCCGCCACCATCCCAAGCTCCTTGGGCAGAGAAGGTGAGCCACACGGCGCCAGAAGCACCCCCCCCTCGCCCCCGTGGAAATGAGAAGACACGTAAACA